CAATATGATCCATTACTATCATTATTTATTTTGATTCTTAAATTGTTCAGATTTGACCACTTTATGGCCAAATTCATAACCAAGTCCTTCTTTATTTTCTTGCAAAAGATATTCAAGGCCCATCCTATACTTGCCCTACCCTAGCCCTGGAGCCAGACAATTCTTGAAGGAGCCCAGGTTCCTTTTGGTAAAGAATGGTATTTAGACATCAAGATCTGGGTGCCTAGTGGGTATATTGCTTTGAGGGTATCAGTGTTCTCAGTAGACACAGCTAGGGAAATATATGAACATATATGCAGATGTATACACACATATTATCATATATACCTTCATATCTCTACTTCTGTACCTTTCTATCTCTGTTGAAAGTCATGAGTTCACACCAGTATCTCCAAATTTCATCTGATTACTAAGATTCATTCTGTATAATTACCTTCACCTATAGTGTGAATTTACCTTTACCCACTACATCCTTGATATATCTTTGTATTCTGTCAATCCCTATGTGTGTATATAATGAATCACCTGTTGCCACCAGGCCCACTCCTCCTCATCACATAGATGTTCTCCAGCTTGGGCCCTGGTATCCTGTGCTGGACTGGTACCATCTCTGTCCCTCACCTCATATGGTTGCCTCTTCCTACTTCCCTCCAGCTACTCTCCATTCCCATGAACAATTTTCTCTCTTTTCCCCAGCGGTGACACTCTGGACTGTCTGCTCCCCAATAGCCTGTCTAAGCTGCTTTTCATGAAGACATCCTTATATATGTTTTTTATGGAGGCTTGGCTTTTGTATTTTAAGTTACAAGAAATGGTTTGCTAGTTAATTTCTCCCATTTTCTTTTATTCATTGTTCCTTGAAGTGTTCTTCTTTCCTATTTTCTTATTGGCATCTCATATTATGTGTGATTTTATTTGATAGGTCTGTTGAATAATTCTAAAAGTCCTAAAGGGTCTTTCTGCACTACTTTTTTTTAGAAGTGGTTCACATAAAGTTTCTGTATTGTTGGTAGGCATAGAATAGCAAGCTGTAACAGTTAATATACATCATGTATAGCAAGGCATACCAGCTAGCAAGCACAGTATAACATTAAAAATGTTATTGTCCCATTTCTTACCTGGAGTAAGTCACCCTTTGGGACCTCATTTGTCAAGGTTCGTTAGTTGGGACTAGATCAAGAATATAAGGTACATGATCTGTTCCTTCATCCAGTTTCCTTATCTGAATAGAAACTCATCAGTTTCTGTAGAATTTTGAGTATAGGACCAGACCACCGGAAAAGTCTGAAATACCTAAAAGTCATTTGGCTGGAGAAAAGTGTTTTCTTGAGATTTGGAAGCAGTCATTCATCACTTTGTACTTAAATACATCCTCAGTGAGCTTCTTTCCTACAAGCCTTTATAATAAAACACGGGATCTGGGCTTCTGGAAGGGTTTGCTTCCAGCTGGAACACCTACCAGCAGGGTATCCTTGCAGGCATTCTGCATGCAGTACTACTGAAGCTCTGCAGCCACTTGGGAGACCTTGGTCCTCTCCATGCCTGCCTCCAGCTTGACCTGCTCCACCAGGCCACCACCGCATGGCACTGGCCCTAGAAGACATGCCAGAGGTGCTAGGCTCCTTAAACTAGTCATTTTATTTCATTTCTAGAAATTCCTTCTGTGAAAATTATTATAGATATGGCACAAAGATTTGTTATCAAGGGTATTTGTTGATGATAAAAATCCACTAATAATAGTGGTTTAAGCAAAAAAAAAAAAAATCCACTGACAGAGAATGAGTTAAAAATAAATCATAACCTATATGATGGAATACTATATAGCCATTAAAAATAACATCTAATATTTAATGATACTACTATTTAATGATGTGGCAGAATTTAGGTAATTGTATTTTAAAGAGAGTTGTAACCCTGCTTTTACAATTTGTAAAGCTACATATCTCCATACATTAATAAGACTGGAATATGTGTGGGATGTTGAACAATAAATGATGATATTTTAGGTGACTTTTATTTTTCTTTTTGCTCTTCTGTATTTTTATGGGAGCAAATTTAAAGTTCCTTACTATGTCTTAGTTCAGTGGGTATAATTTAGTTCATATTATTAGGAAATAACAATGACCTCCTTCTGAACCCCAAGCTTCTGCCTTAAAGGTTTTTTTAGAATTATGTAAGACTGATCATTTATGTGGGATACCTAATAGTGGAACTTGCTCTGGCTATGTTGTAACAAAATTCACAGTATATCAACATTCAAAGTATACCTTAAAGCTTGGGGTTCTAAAATAAAATGCCTTGGAGCAGTGAAATAGAGAAACATTTTGAGGGGAACATGTACATGTTTACACATGGAATTGTCTTAGGAACCTGGAAAGAAGTCTGCACCGCATGCTTGATTAGCTGATGTGAACTCCCTCACAATCCTGGAAGCTTCTTGAGGGCAGGTACCTATCTTAGTTCACCACTACGTCCCTAGCATCTGGCAGAGTGCCAAGTCCAAAGTGGACACTCAAATATTTGTTGATTGAAAGAAGAAACTGATGGCACCAGATCATGAGGGCAAGGAAGATAAAGGACTGTTAGAAGAGTTAAGACTGAAATTAGAGAAACCAAAGGACTTTTAAATTTTGTCTAAAACCCTCTTGTGTATTCTTTTATGACAGTGATTCTCCTACCAGTATAGGTTTGGATGCTTGCCAAAGAGTGGTGTGGTATATTAACAATTCTCTAAAGTCATTGAATTCTCCAACAACTTAGAGTTTAACAGAGCCTCCTTTCCCTTTGAGCATATTTCCAACCTTGCTATGAAAGGGAGATAAGCATAGGGGCACCTGGGTGGCTCAGTCAGTTAAGCATCTGCCTTCAGTTCAGGTCATGATCCCAGGCTCCTGGGGTGGAGCCCTGCATCAGGCTCCCCACTCAGCAGGGAGTCTGCTTCTCCCTCTCCCTCTGCACCCCCCTCCCCGACTTGTGTTCTCTCTCAAATAAATAAAATCTTTATTTTAAAAAAAAGGGGGGACATAAACCTAGATGTAGAGGCTTGAGATTCAGTTTAAGGAAGAGATAGCATTTAAGCCTCCTAAAACAAATACCATCATTTATGTCTCAAGGTGCTTCAGCTGTTGTATTTACAGCTACCTCAGCTAGGTTTTAGAAAATAGTAATAAGGAATGGGAATTTTTATTGGTTGGCTAGGAAATAGGCTGATGTGTAGGTAAGGAACTTCTTTCGTAGAGAAAGGGGACAGTGTGGTGGGGGAGTGGAAAAGATGAGAGAGAAAAGGGTACCATGGGCTCATTCCCTCATAAAGCATTCCTGGAACTCTCAGTTTGGTCCCTGCACTACCTGTGTGTTCTCGTAGTGTGTTAACTTTTATTCTTACCAAAGGAGTTGAAATTATATTTCTGTATTCCTTTCTTCTGCTAGACTAAAAGTCTCTCAGCGCAGGGACTGTTTTTTCATCTTTGTGTCTTGGCATATATTTGGTGTTTAAATGTTTCTTGAACTTAGCTGAATTTAAATTTTGCTTTGATTTTTCATAGCAATATGAACTGCATTTTCTTACTGGTTTTAGAAGAGTTTTTTGAGGTAGACTAAACTTATTTAGTCTTGAACAAGTCTTGATTTGTTCATATCATATGGCTATTTATTCATTCCTTAATATTTAATGAGTAAATGCTGCTGTGAGGTAGGCACTGTTTTAGGTAGTTAACCCAAAGTTAAGTTCCTTGCCCTCATTAAGCTCACATTCTATGGGTAATGACAGAAGCATAACTTTTATAGATTTCCTTTGGATTATTCTAGTGTTCTTTTCCCTTTTCTCACGGACAGCATGGTAAAGTTGGATGTGAATGGAGGAATAGAACCCTACCAGATACAAGTTTTGCCTGGAAACCAGGGAAAAAACTTTCTTCTTCCTATCTCCTGTACCAAATTACCCATACCTCCAAGACTCAGAACTGTGGCTATTTATACGTTTCCCCACAGGAATTGTCCAGTTTTTCCGAGCAAGACATTCTTGATACCACATTTATAAGCAAAATTATGAAAAATAATTTTTTCTCTATGCATCACTGTCTTATTTGAATAAGCATATAGTTACTCTTCACCACTGGATGGAGTTCAGTGAATGTAAGATGAAGTATTTGCAGAATTATTTATTATTACTATTTTTTTAGTAATCTCCACACCCAGCATAGGGCTAGAAGTTGTAACCCTGAGATCAACAGTCGCATGTTCCTCCAGCTGAGCCAGCCAGGCACCCCAGCAGAGTTTTTTAAAATGGGCCACTGACCTGGATAGTTTCAACATGTACTTGTTCTTAAACTAATACCAGCGGCGCATGGGTGGCTCAGTCGGGTAAGCATCCAACTCATCAGCTTCTGATCTCATGGGTCGTGAGATCAAGCCCCATGTCCACCTCTGCACTCAGAGGGAGTGGATATTGTCTCCCTCTGCACCTTCCCTTTCTCTCTCTCTCAAATAAATAAATAAATAAATAAACCCTAATATCAAATAAATAAGTTATAAGGCTGTGAAGAGGGAGATGCTTATATAGACCAATTATATTACAGGACAAATAGAATTTTGTTGAATTAGGCTGAGAACTTGATCACCTCTGACTATATTTTAAGAAGTTAAAGAGTTTCCAAATAGATGTTCTAAAATGCTGCATCTCCTCTTTTTCATCAGACTTCCAAAGTCAGGAGATTTACTCTTTTAATAGCTGCTTTTCAGCCACAGCTCTAAGGCTGAATTAAATGTTTTTTTCCTTTTACCGTCTGTGATGGAGTTGGATATGTACATACCTATGTTTAAGGCATTCATGTGGGTGTTCAATTTGTAGGAGCAGCATTCTTACCTCTTGTAAAGCTTCTTAAGAGTGACAGGGTTTGGGGTTGGCAGTAGAGTAAAATTATTCAGGTGTTTTTATTTCTTGTGTTTCAAGTAGTGTTTCAAAACTATTTTTAACAGTGTGAAACCACTTTGTTTTTCAGTATCCTTGCCATGAAAAAGAGGACGTGATAAGTTGTTCAACTTAATGAAATTCAAGTTACATGTGAATTCTGCCAGGTATGTATGCAGTATTTGGTATGTTTACCAATTTTTCATATTTTAGATCATAAAAATTTTCATAGTTATTTCTTGATAAATATTTCAGTATTTTTTTCAATAATTAAAAAAAAAACTTACCCAGTATATTAGTTTAGCTGCTAGTCCTATTATGTCTTTTTTCTTTTTTTTTTTTAAGATTTTATTTATTTGAGAGTGAGAGCACAAACACGGGAAGGGGCAGAGGGAGAGGGAGAAGCAGACTCCCTGCTGAGCAGGGAACCCAACAGCGGGGCTCGATCGCAGGACCCCAAGATCATGACCTGAGCTAAAGGCAGATGTTCAACCAACTGAGCTACCCAGGCGCCCCCTATTATGTCTTTAAATTATCAAATAGAACATCAAAATGCACTTAACTATGACAAACATAAACATATTTTAGGGTTTGATTTCTAGAGTTCCAAATAATACTAGTCCCATGAAATGTTCTATGAAAAAGCATTTTAATAGCAAATGGATGTGTCAAAAATGCTGTATTCTAGGTGCTCCTCTAGTCATTTCATTTGAACATATTAAAGGCTCTGAAAAGTCCTATAAAAGAAAATGTACTCCAGCATTTCCCAAAACTGTTTGATTACATACCTTTTTTCTATAATAACTATTGTCATCCCTGTTGAAGATGCTTTGGGAAACATTGCTTTGGAATGGTTAACAAGCTAATGTTGAAAAAGGAACAATGTTTCCAGATTTTTAATTGAGTCAAATACAGTTGTTATATATAATTTCTAGAAAGAAAGCCAAGACAAAATTTAAAACCTACAAGTTGTTGCAAAAAATGATTGGGAACTTTAAGTCTAAATCAAATACAGGAAAATAATCTTTACTCATAGATTTCTTTTTATAGTTATTTTGTTCAAATCAGGATCCAAAAAGGATTTACATTTCGTTGGTATGTTTATTTTTTTAAAAGATTTTATTTATTTATTTGAGAGAGAGAGAGTGAGCACACGAGTGACAGGGAGGGGCAGAGGGAGAGGGAGAGCAGACATCCCTGCAGAGAAGGGAGCCCAATGCAGGACTCACTCCCAGGACCCTGGAATCATGACCTGAGCCTAAGGCAGCCCCTTAACCAACTGAGCCACCCAGGCACCCCTGGTTAGTATGTTTATTAAATCTTCTTTAATCTATAACAGTTTCCACCTACTCTTCTCTTTTTTTGTTCTCCATTACATTTATTTGTTGAAGTGACCAGGTCTTTGTCTTACAGAATTTGGCTAACTGCTTCCAGATAGTGTTGACAGGTTTCTCCTGTATTTCCTGTAGCTGAATCTAGAGATGCTTGATTAAGTTCGGGTTTGACTCTGCATACTGTCCACACACACACACACACACACACACACACACACACACACACCCACTACCCCACCCCCCCACCCCCACCCAAGAACACTTCTCATGCTTTCTATTGTATCATATCAGGTGGCACATAATGTCTAATTGTCCCACTCTTAGTGATGTTAATTTTAAGATTGACCTGTGAGTTCATTATAAAGCTCCGTCACCTTTTTTTCTTAATGGTTTTATCATGTGACCTAGATCCATTATTTCATTGGACATTAAAGTGATTTTCCAATTATTTCATTCTTTATTCACTTAAACTATTCAACAGGAAAGATTTAGCCTGATAGACCAAGGTTCCTAACGCTTTTTTTCTATAGTGTGAAATCTGCATGTTACATGTATTTGTCTACTCATTATAAAAAGATGGAAGGGAAATAGGGCTAAAATGTCAGTAAAAGTATTTTATTTCACACTGAAATAGAAAAAGTAATAAGCTTAGTGAAAATCATATAATATTACATTTAAAATTATTCTTTATTCTTTATTTAAAAATCTATACTGTCGGGGTGCGGTGGCTCAGTTGGTTAAGCGTCTGCCTTCAGCTCGGGTCATGATCCCAGGGTCCTTGGATCGAATCCCACATCGGGCTCCTGGCTCAGCAGGGAGTCTGCTTCTCTTTCTGCCCTTCCCCCTGCTGGTGCACACGCTCGCTCTCTCTCTCTCTCTCAAAAATAAATGATCTTTAAAAACAAATAAATAAAAATCTGTACTGTGAAACACTAAGCCATTGCTTAATGTTTTATTATAGGCAGTACAAGGACCTGTGGAATATGAGTGATGACAAACCCTTTCTATGCACTGCCCCTGGATGTGGCCAGGTAATATATAAATTACTTTAAATCATTTTGTATATTCATATTTATTAAAACACTGATGAAAGTTTTATGTTGTCATTAAAAGGATTCTCCTACAATTTTTTGTAAAATTTTGGAGTTAGAATGTAAATAACCCAGAAGTATTTGGGGAAGAAACTTTTTTCCTCAATAGTATATTTGAGTTTTTAAAAACACAATCTAATATGGAAAAAGAAAGTTAGAAGTCTTGTAATGGAAAGGTGAATACCTAGACAAAATCCAGGGCTTAATAGTATCTTTATTTGACCATTATTGGTTGAAAATAATTGTAAATTGCTTAGTTGGAAATCAAATATACATTATCTTGTTTGAAAATTATATTACTTGCTGAACTCTTATGAAATTAACTAATATTTACCTCTGACAGTGTCACTAATGCATTAATGTTCTTAATGTACCTAAGTCTAACATCTTCAGAGCATGTGTGAAAGCATTTTCAGAAAATAATCTTTCTACATTGTATCAAAAAATAGTATTTCAGTGTTTTTAACAGGCCATTAAATTATTAATCTATTGCTGTTATAATAATTCTAACTTTAAAATAACTATAGACACAAGAAATGAAAGAATAAATTTAATGTGTAGCCAAATTACAGAGTACTTAAATATACAAACTATAAATCATAAATAAGCATTAGTGTTTCATTGGTTCTTACTTGTTTTCTTTAGCTGATGTTTTAAATTGAGGTATAATTGATATACTGCACATACTTATACAATTTCATGTCTTAATGTATATATGCTCATAAAACTATCACCATAATTAAGATAGAGAACATACTCCTCACCCCAAAAGTTTTGTCATGCCCAGTTGTTACTGCTTCTGCCTTTGTAAAGTACTACTCTGCCATATGTCCTTATAGATTAGTTTGCATTTTCTAGAATTTTGTGTAGAGTCACACAGTATGTACTTTTGTCTGGCATCTTTTGTTCCTTATAATTAATTTGCGATTTCCCATGTTATGTGACCAATAGTTAATTCCTTTTCATTGAGGAGTAATATTTCATTATATGCAGTTGTGGACATTTGGCTTATTTCCAATTTTTACTTACTACAAATCTGGTATAACTGTGTACAAGTCTTTGGTATGGATGCATGCTTTCTTTTCTCTTGGGTAAATGCATAGGAATGAAATGATGCGATCATATGTTAGATATATATTTACTTTTGAAGAAATTGCCAAGCTGTTTTCCAAAATGGATGCACTTTACATTTCCACCAGGAGTGTATGAGTCTTCTTGTGCCATTTCTTTGCCTACATTTGATGTTGGCAGTCTTCTAATTTTAGCCATTTTCCTTGTGTGTATAGTGATATATCATGTGGTTTTAAATTGCATTTCTTTGATGAAAAGATGAGCACTTGTTCATGTGCTTATTGGCCATTTGCATTATTTTTTGTGACATATCTCTTCAAATCTTTTGCTGTTTTTAAAAGTCAGGTTGTCTTTCTTTTAATTATTAACTTGTAAGAGTTCTTTATATATCCTGGATACCAGTCCATTGTCAAATAGTTTCTCCAAGTCTGTGGTTTGCATCTCAGTTTTCATGATAAAAGCTTTTGATCCACAAATCTTTCTAATTTTAATGAAGTCTAATGTTATTAATTTTTTCTCTTTTATGGTTGTTGCTTTCTGTGACTTGTCTAAGAAATCTTTGCCTACCTTTAAGTCACAAAGGCATTATTCTCCTTTGTTTTTTCTGAAAGCTTGTTTTTTCATTTAGGCCTCTGTTTCATCTTGAATTCATTTTTCCACGTGGTTTTTCAGATATTCGAACATCATTTGTTGAAAAAATTTTTCTTTCTCCATTAATTTGCTTCAGCTCCTTTATTGAAAATCAAATTATGGTAGAAGTGTAGGTCTATTTCTGAGCTTTCTGCTCTGTTCCTTTCATCAGTCTGTCAACTTTTATGCTAGTACTACAATGTCTTAATTATTCTAGCTTTACAGTAATGCTTCCAGTCAGGTAAGGTAAGTTCACCAGTTTAGTTCTCCTTTTTGAGATTGTTCTGGATAGTCTTTTAATTTTAGTCATTATGGTGAGGATGTAGCAGTATCTCATTATGATCTTAATTTTCATGATAGATATCTAAAGATGTTGAACCAGGGTAAAGATAGGAAGTTACCGGGTTGGTGCTACTTAGATAGGTTTGTCAGGGAATGCCTCTCTGATAAGGTGACATTTGAATTAAGACATGAAAATGTAGGAGCAGAGCTCTGGAGGAAGTTTTTCAAACTGAAGGAACAACAAATAAGTTTCTAAGGAGGGAATGGGTTTGGGTGTATTTAAAATCAGAAAGATGACTCTTGTGGCTGGAGCATATAGTGACCAACAAGGATAAGAGTAAGAGATTCTGTCAGGTAGAAGAAAATAGTCCATACCCTGTAGGGCTTTGTAGACTGTGATAAAGTGTTTGGGCTTTATTCACAGAGCCATGAAAGCCATTACTGAGCTAAGAGTGGAAACGGGGAGTAGAGACTGACAGCTCTCAGGTGAGAGATAATGGTGGCTTTGTCTAGGTGCTAATAGTGGACAATATAGAGAAATAGACTCATTTGACATATATTTTGGAGATACATTAGATATTCATTTTTCTATAAATTCAAGAAAGCTAAAAAAACTACACTTCCCAGAATTTTTTGTGAATAGTATTTCCTAGGAAATCGAAAGTTCAAATAAGAATTGATTTTAGAACCACCAATTTGGTGGTGTTGGTACAAGTTATTTTTTTGTCATAAGTATTGATATTATTCCCAATTTGAATTTTAGCTTTAATGCACTTAAATTTAAATTTTCAAATTTTAAACTTTTTAAAATACATTTTGTTGAAAATGTTATTTTGGAGAGAGACCTATAGAAATCAATGCAAAGAATTTTAACTTTTTTCTTGCTATTAAAAATATTTTTATGTGCCTCAATCACTACTAGGTATTTCACAGAAAGAGTTCTGTTAATCACATTTGTTTTAAAGTAATGTTCCATTGAATTTGTGAAAGAGACAAAGTGTGATAATTTAGTGAAAGATTGATTTAACATTGGAACTCTTCTATTTTATGTGTTAATATCTTTGCTTTTGGTGATGCTTTCATTGAAAATTATTTCTTACATAGAATGTTTATACATCATAAGCTGTTTTACAAAGGAGATAAAGATTCATTTTATTTAGTCTAAAGTTTCACTGGAGGTGTGTAAATGTGTGTGTGTGTAACTTCCTGATGTTGAATAGATTCCTTCAAACTAGTAAAAGAAGCAGTAAAATGAGCTGTTGGCTTTATGGCTTTATAACTTAGTTGTACCTATTTAACAGATTAAATAGGAAAAAAAATCTATATCATGGATGGGAATGCATGTATTAAATGCAGAATGACTGACTTCTTAGGAAGTTAGTTCTGGTGAGTGTTCAAGCCTTAGAAACACAGATCTCTCAGAGCTTCAATTCATTATAAAAGCAATTGGTTTACCTCCCTTCCATCTGTCCGGTTACCCTTCCTTTTTAACTTTATAAGAGAGATGGTTATCCATCCTACCTTTCTTGACTGCCTTTCCCATTGTTGACTCAGCTGTATGCTCAAAGTCTTGTTGTTTAACAAAATACTGTGTATTTTGCATTGGAGTTGTGCTGTAAATTGCCTGGAAGAAAGAAATTATGAATTTAATATGTTTAACATATTGTTATTACTGCTAGTATCATTTTTCTACAAAACTTATTTTTTAAAATAAACTTTTTAATTTGGCTCAGAAAGCAATTCAAATAGATTCTGCAAAAATTTTATCTTAGCATATAGTAGTAGCTATTTTATAAGTATTTGTTGAAAAAGTTTATTTCATTCATTCATATATATATATCTGTATATGTATGTGTATATGTATATCTTTTCCTGGTGACTGCCTTTTGACAAGATGGCCTTTGACATTGGTTTTGTTTTTTTTGTTTCTTCTTAGAGGTAAATAAATTATTTCAAGTGATAGCCAAGGTTAAACTCATTATCAAGTGCCAGTTTCAGTGTGTTTTATCCACGTACATCAATAATATCATATCAAAAATCTCTAATAAATAGCATTTTGGTAAATTTGATCTATAGATCATATATGAAACTTTGTAAATTCATACTTCTTGCATTCACCCTTTTAATATTCATATGATCCTGAATGTTTTTTTAGGGCCCTTTTAGTTGTTCCTTTTCACTGAGGATCAATCTAGGTACCATTTTCACGTTTTGTACAATTCTATATCTGGTTCCTCTTTGATTTGGATATTTGTGGTCAAACCAATCCAACCAGAGAATAGTTGTAGAATAAATTCCTAGGAGATAACTTTCCAGGTTCTTATCTGTTAATTATGACCTCTACCAAAATGCGTTTATTCACAAGTGTTTAATTATTACCTTCATGGAGAAACTACATTGTTAGGTTCTTTAGACGTAAAGTGAATCCTGCTTTAAGATACTTTTAGTGTGGATGCTGAGTGAAATAAGTCAGTCAGAGAAAGACATGTATCATATGACCTCACTGATATGAGGAATTCTTAATCTCAGGAAACAAACTGAGGGTTGCTGGAGTGGTGGGGGGTGGGAGGGATTGGGTGGCTGGGTGATAGACATCGGGGAGGGTATGTGCTATGGTGAGCACTGTGAATTGTACAAGACTGATGAATCACGGATCTGTACTTCTGAAACAAATAATGCAATATATGTTAAGAAAAAAAAGAAGAAGAAGATAGCAGGAGGGGAAGAATGAAGGGGAGTAAGTCGGAGGGGGAGACGAACCATTAGAGACGATGGACTCTGAAAAACAAACTGAGGGTTCTAGAGGGGAGGGGAGTGGGGGGATGGGTTAGCCTGGTGATGGGTATTAAAGAGGGCACATTCTGCGTGGAGCACTGGGTGTTATGCACAAACAATGAATCATGGAACACTGCATCAAAAACTAATGATGTAATGTATGGTGGTTAACATAACAATAAAAAAATTATTAAAAAAAAAAAGATACTTTTAGTGTGGAATGTAATACACGTATATTTAAAACTCTAATGGAAAATAGTGAAATAATGCCTACATTATTCTATAAACTCTACACCTATGTTCATTCTCTAAGAGCTGTTATTCAGCAGTCCTTTAAAAGACAACTACTTCTTCCTCCAAATTTGGGAAGGATTCTTGTAATGATAAAGCAATAGAAAGCTAGTACTTGGTTGGGAAAGAGCTAGATTATTTTTAAATGAACTACTTTGTTATCATATTGGTGTTCTTTCTTTGCTGGATTATAAGAAGCATTTTTAAAAATATGGTAATATAAAGAACCTGATTTACTTAATTTGTCCAGGAGTATTCCATAAGAGAAGGAATCTGTTTGGTGTTTTTTTAAAGATTATATAATTTTAAACTCGCACAAGCTGGGAGAGGGGTGGGGGAGAGAAAGAGAGACTCTCAAGCAGACTCCCCGCTGAGCATGAGCAGCCCCCGCCCCACTGACAGCGAGGCTCAATCTCACGACCTTGAGATCGTGACCTGAGTTGAAATCAAGAGTCTGATGCTTAACCGAATGAGCCACCCAGGCACCCCAGGAATCCCATTGGGATAGTTTAGGGGAACCAAGTTCAAATATATATAATTTTAACATCCCTATTTATAAGGATGTAGGGTAGAGAGTTTATATCTTAATTTGGCATTTTATAATTATTGCTCTGAAATAAAATGTAAGTGCTCCTTATTTTCAGTTATAATTGCTGCTTGATAAGGAGCATCTTCATAAAGGTTGATGTCAGACAGTATTTTAAAATGAACTGCTTTGTTGTATTGGTTGCTATTTCTTTGCTGGATTATAAAAAAAAGCATTTTTTTTAATGTGGTAACATAAAGAACCTAATTTACTACTTAATTTGTCCAGGGGTAATATTTTTGTGAGAGAATTCTCATTTTAAAAGTGGTAAGTAACCTGAAGTCTGTGTAAATACAGTACTTTCTTCAAAAGTCACTGAACCATGGAATACATAGTTCTTTGATATGGCAAAAGAAATCAATAGTGGTCTATTTTTAGCGTCCAAATGAAATTTATATGAAGTTTCTTTGCTTCAGGTTTAATTTTTAAATGCTCTCAAATGATTTATGTGACTTATTAATACATCAGTATTGCTTATTCTTGGGTAATGGGTTTTCTATAATTATTTGAAGTCTTGTATGTTTATACTAACAATAGATTCTTTTATAGTTAACAAACTGTTTCATTGTTAATGGTGGTTTTACATGTTGTGGAAATGAATTTCCTTATCATTTTACTTATTTGATCAAATTGAAAATCTTAACTATATTTTAAAACTTTTTGCCACAGCGTTTTACCAACGAGGATCATTTGGCTGTCCATAAACATAAACATGAGATGACACTGAAATTTGGTCCAGCACGTAATGACAGTGTCATTGTGGCTGGTTAGTATATGCTTTTATTAATAGCTTATATACATATTTCACCTGGAATGTGCACAATTTTTGTGTATTCTCTGTAAATAATATAGTCTGGTGATACTCCAATTACTTCATTTACAGTAAATGTTGGCAACATGTATTTTACCCATTACATTTCCATGTTTACTTCTGACCATTCATTTCACTTTTCTGTGTGGTTTTCAAATGTAGATATCAATGTTTTGTGGAAGTTAATTAGAACCCCGGGAGCATTTATAGCATCTCCAAAGTTTACATTTGATTGATAATTGAACTAATGTGATGTTCAGTCAATGTTTCTTTTAGCTTTTTACACCTGGTTTGCAGTGCTTTGGGAAGAGAGGAAATGATCACGCTCCTCCTGTTGGAGAAAGATCAATTACCAGACTTGTTCACTAGAATTTTGTTGATATTTCTTTTGGGACTAAAACATCTGTGTTAGTAAAAATACTCTCAGTAAAAGGGCCTAAATTCAGTCAATGCTTTTTTTGTGTGTTTTGATCCTGTGAACATACAGTATCACATAAGCAGATGATTATCTTTCACAGTATGTGAAAAGAGAAAATTTCATGCATTGTTTTATTGTCCTTTCATGCTGTATTAGCTACCCCTTTTGTGGTATTTAAATATATATGTACACACATCTATGCATATGGACACACACATAATATGCATAGTTTTACTGCATTTTGTATATTTTATAAGTATTATAAGAAAAGAAAGTTTTATATAAAACAATATATTTATATAAATTTCAGACCCTTTTGTGTCATAACCACAGAGTCACATAAGTATTCAAAATCAACCCTAAATTATTATTTTCTCTTTCGAAGTTTTGGTTATACTCTTTGTCAGTCTGGAATTAATCTTGAAATCTGAGTATTACTAGTATTTTAAAATTATTACCCAACGTACAGATTAAATAATCATATGCGAGGCTTTATAAGGATAATGAGGCAGATGGTTTTTCCTGTACTTTCAGTATCATAATTTTTGTAATGAAAAAATTTGAGTTAACAAAAAGTTGGTAATTTGTCAAAAACTACTTAGGAAAAATGAAAGAGCATGTTGAGCATTTCTTTAGTTCCATAAGTAAGAGGAAGCAGAGAAGAGTGAGGTATGCACTTCTTTAGAATATTGTACATCAGATATTAAGAGCTGGACCCCAAAAAAGTAGTCAAAATAACAACAACCTGGACAGTTCACTCTCCTAGGGATATAAATAAGGTCTTTGCTTGTCTGAGATTTATTGCCCTAGACCAACATCTGTAACTTTTCAACTCAAAAATGTTTTGAGATTGGTTTCTAGAAATTTCCTGTTGGTTTACCTTTTATTATAGTAGAAAAACAGAACACATTCAAACACAGCACTTAACCATTTTTTACTAACATGTTGAAATTAGTAGTTTAGCATTACTGTATAAGTATGATGCATGATGTGTGTGGTATATATTTGATGATCAATAGCCATAAGCCACTGCATGTTTAAACAGTTGTGCCTGTATTGACTTTTCTTTTCTCACACCTGATCATTTTGGTAATCACTGATAACAGTGTTTTATGCATATGCCTTTTATTTCTAAGACTTCTCTCCCTTTACCACACATTAGGAGCCTTTTGTTGGGCTGAGATAGACAAACTGATTATGAACAGAGGAGACAAATTTATATTCACTTTACTAATTCACCTATAATGGACTTAAGCTGATATGTGTACTCTGAGCTCTTGCTGTAGTAAATTTTAGAAGTCTTTTGAGGGTTAGTGAGTATGTATGTTGTAGACTAATAGGTAAAATGGTGACACAAGAGAGTCCCTTTAGTAATTTAGATAATACTAGTCGTGTTTGAGATAGGCTTACATTATAGCTAATGTGTATGACATATAGGTCATTTTAGTGTTAAATATATTTATATGTAGTAAGCATATTAGTACTCTAGGTACATGTGGGGCAAAGATGAAAAGTAATGCCAATTCTGGGGACACAATATTTAACAAATATATGAATTTTAATTTTATAAAATCTTAAACCAGGAGTCATCCTTATACTTTTATTTAGCTTAGACTAGATTCCTGATAACATCTATAACTTGATGCCCTAAAATACATAAAATGTGAATAGAATTTCAGTGTGCCACCAGCTCTGATCAATATGAATAAATAGCCTGGCAGATAATAAGACAAATAGGCAAAATCCATAAGTATACTATTTTTCATTCAACATGGACCTAACTAGTATTTATTCCATAACCAGTACATGCGTTAATCTACATAGCATGAGTACATAATCAAGTATAGTTAAAATATTTCACGTTGTGAGAAAGTAGAGTTGACCGTTCCTCTACTGCCTAGAAATTAAGGTAGAACATTCCATAAATATGTAACTCTTATATAGCCCCTTGTTCCAAGCTTGAAAAATGCATTAAAATAGAAAATTGGCTTCTGTGGATAGTGATAAAGGAGGGTTTTGTTTTGGTTTGTTTTTGTTTTAGGGCTCTTATTTTAACCTTCTTTTTCTTCCTTGTAGTATTTTGGTCTACCTACTAAAAATTCTGTGTTATCTTAAGCTTGCTTTTGTAATAGATTATGAACACTAGTGGAAGGTCCAAGCTAGAGTGAATGAATATACATGCTCTTGTCCTAGTTTTCCCCAAACTGCATGTATTTGAAACAATCATAATTTTTAATAATGTAAATTTTTAAAAATTCTTTTTGCTTTAAATAATGATAATAGTTGATCTTTGAGTAGAAGATGCTTATGTCATTCTACTAAGAGAGAAGGTCTGGACTAAGGAACAAGGACTTTTTTTTCATACTTTTATGGTTCGTAAAGTTGGAGGAAATATCTTGAACTGCAGCAAAAACTTAACCAAATTTTGTTTGCTTTAAAGGAAGAGGTCTTTCCAAAGAGAATTAACAGCTGACTGAACCAGTCCTGCTCATTTGTTAACTTACTAGCTATATTTCAGGGTCCTGTATGATATTTAAATCTATGGGATTGCTTCTTGACATTTATTTCAGATCAGACCCCAACACCAACAAGATTCTTGAAAAACTGTGAAGAAGTGGGTTTGTTTAATGAGTTGGCAAGTCCATTTGAGAATGAATTCAAGAAAGCCTCAGAAGACGACATTAAAAAAGTATGTTGTTAACCATGAAATTAAGAGTATTTCTGACAAAACGATAGTCAGAGCTTACACTTCTTGCTTTCTTATTTTAGATACACTGGCATTTTTTGAACTTCTGACATTTTCTTTAACGTTTGTATTTTAGATGCCTCTAGATTTATCCCCTCTTGCAACACCCATCATAAGAAGCAAAATTGAGGAGCCCTCTGTTGTAGAAACAACTCACCAGGATAGTCCTTTACCTCACCCAGAGTCTACTACCAGTGATGAAAAGGTTAGAAATTTATATTTTTGGGAGAAACAAAAAACTTGGTGTAAAAAAAAACAGCACCCCAAGTAAAGTTTAATATTTGATTTACCTAAAATGTTAATGTAATAAGTTGTACACAATTGAGTATCAGGTTGTAATAGTCTTATATGTGAAAGCCTGTGAATACTCCTAGAAATTTCAGGGAAAGAAGCTGTTACCTTTATAGATAATTGCCTTTTTATTACACTCAGAAAAATTATAGGGGAGAACAGCAATCATTTTAGATAAAACTTATTTTTTTTAAGGCTGCATAAATTTATAAAGTGAATTTAACTTTTCTGGGTTTTGCTATTTTATCCTTGCCGCTTTTATATAGTGACAGCTTTTTCTTTACAACTAGAAATTGCTTGAACTAAGGTTATTTAGGCTTTTTAAGGGCTACATGAATAGTTATTCAGTCTCGGCAGTGGGTCTTTGGTACTACAAACTAAGATGATGATGATACTGTCTTAGTACAAGCCTTTTGTAGGTGGTTTAGGGCCTTATTCCTGGATCTTGAATACCTTGGTAACTTGGGAACCCCCTGGTCTATATAGTGTGTGTTGAGTAACCATTATTGTGGTTTTTGTTTTGTTTTGTTTTGTTTTTAAGAGATGGGGAGAGAGAGAGAGGGAGAGGAGTGGGGAGGGGCAGAGGGAGAAGGAGACAGAGAATCTTAAGCAGGCTGCACACCCAGCGCAGAGCCTGACACGGCTCAGTCTCAAAATCCTGAGATCATGACCTGTGCTGAAATCTAAGAGTTGGACGCTTAACCACCCAGGTGCCCTATGGGTATTTCTTGATCACTTTTTATTCATAAGCACTTATAATGAACAAATTATGTGGCACAATGAAGAGGCACTGACAATGTCTTTTTCTAGATTATGTTATTCTAAAACTATAAATGAATTAATGGACTTCTGTCATGGCAAAGAATCTAAAAGTAGGGCAGAAGAAGTAACTTCATACTTAGGAATAAATGCTTTGACCTTAGATGTTTTGAGGGTTTTTTTCCTCATTTCCTAATTATAAAAGTGAGTCTCATTATAAAAAATATGAGGAAGACAACCAAAATCACCTGTTAGCCCATAATTGAGTGATAAGAATTACTAATATTATGAAACATTTTTCATAGATATATGCATGCATTTATACAAATATCCATATATAAGTGAATAATTAGAAGGATAGATGGATACAAAGAAAAATTCAAAGAAAGAGCCTAGTTTACTTTTTATTTTTTTTAAAGATTTTATTATTTGTTTTATTTTTGAGAGAGAAAGGGAGAGACAGGGCACAAGGGGAGGGGCAGAGGGAGAGGGAGAAGCCGACACTCCCCTGAACAGGGAGCCTGATGTGGGGCTCGATTCCAGGACCCTGGAATCATGACCTGAGCCGAAGGCATACCCTTAACTGACTGAGCCACCCAGGCACCCCTACTTTTTAATTTAAAACAAGTATTTAAAAATTTTTTTTTTTAAGTAAGCTGTACAGCCAACATGGGGCTTGAACTCACGACCCCAAAATCAAGAGTCACATACTCTACCAACTAAACCAGGCAGGTGCCCCAATCCTAATTTACTTTTATATTGTGCTTTAGACATTCAGCATTAATGAACACTTTCCCATGTCATTAGAAAATTTCCAAAATACTAATTTTTAATGGTTGTACTTTATCATTATCTTAATGTATCTAATTATCCTGTTCTTTTTGGACATAAAGATTATTTCCACATTATCACAGTTATAGAAAATGCTGTTAACTCTATGATATAAATATCTTTTTTTCTAAAGAGCTTTCTAGTCCCATCACACTCAACAGTTTTTCCCTCTTCACTGCTGCTTTAGCATCTTTCAAGGGTAATCCTTCTTCCTGCCTTCCTGTCTTTAGCCTCCCCCTGGGCAGGGCATAGTCACACCAAGTTATAAAAGTCTGTTTTGCGCCTCCTTCACTTCTCTTTCTCACTTTTCTTCATACGTGATCTCATCTCTACTCAAAACTTTAAAAACCAGCTAAATGCTGATGATTCTCAAACTTACATCAACCAAGATATCTCCTGAATTTCCATATTCATCTCCAACTCCCATTGTGACATTTCCCTTTCTATATCTAATAAGCATCTTAAACTTAATATATCTAAGAGCTCTTGATTCTTTCCCTATCTTAGTAAATTTTTTTTTAATTTTTTTAAATTAACATATAATGTATTATTTGGTTCAGGGGTACAGGTCTGTGATTCATCATTCTTAACATAATTCACAGTGCCCACCATAGTACATAACCTCCCCGATGTCCATCACCCAGCCACCCCATCCCTCCCACCCCCCACCACTCCAGCAACCCTCAGTTTGTTTCCTGAGATTAAGAGTCTCTTAATGGTTTGTCTCCCTACCTGGTTTCATCTTGTTTCATTTTTCCCTCCTTTCCCCTATGAGGCTCATATATCATAAACCCCTGTGTGCTCATTATATCAAGTGCCCTCCTTAATGCATCACCCAATTACCCCATTCTCCCACCCACCACCCCTCCAACAACCCTCAGTTTGTTTCCCATGATTGTCTCTTATGGTTTGTCTCCTCTGATTTCATCTTGTTTTATTTATCCCTCCCTTCCCCTATGATCCTGTTTTGTTTCTTAAATTCCACATACCAGTGAGATCATATGATACTTGTCTTTCTCTGATTGACTTACTTCGCTTAGCATAATACCCTCTAATTCCATCCAAGTTGTTGCAAATGGCAAGATTTCGGTTTTCTTTTTGATGGCTGCATAATATTCCATTGTGTATATCTATACCACATCTTCTTTATCCATTCATCTGTTGATGGACATTTAGGCTCTTTCCATAGTTTGGCTATTGTGGACATTGCTGCTATAAACATTGGGGTGCATGTGCCCCTTCGGATCACTACATTTGTATCTTTGGGGTAAATACCCAGTAGTACAATTGCTGGGTCATAGGGTAGCTCTATTTTCAACTTTTTGAGGAACCTCCATACTGTTTCCCAGAGTGGCTGCACCAGCTTGCATTCCCACCAACACTGTAAGCGGGTTCCCCTTTCTCTGCATCCTCGCCAACATCTGTCATTTCCTGACTTGTTAATTTTAGCCATTCTGACTGGTGTGAGGTGGTATCTCATTGAGGTTTTGATTTGGATTTCCCTGATGCCGAGTGATTTTGAGCACTTTTTCATGTGTCTATTGGCTATTTGGATGTCTTCTTTGCAGAAATGTCTGTTCATGTCTTCTGCCCATTTCTTGATTGGATTATTTGTTCTTTGGTTGTGGAGTTTAATAAGTTCTTTATAGATTTTGGATATTAGCCTTTTATCTGATATGTCATTTGCAAATATCTTCTCCCATTCTGTCGGTTGTCTTTTGGTTTTGTTGACTGTTTCCTTTGCTGTGCAAAAGCTTTTTATCTTGATGAAGTCCCAATAGTTCATTTTTGCCCTTGCTTCCCTTGCCTTTGGCAATGTGTGTAGGGAGAAGTTGCTGCAGCTGAGATCAGAGAGGTTGCTGCCTGTGTTCTCCTCAAGGATTTTGATGGATTCCTGTCTCACATTGAGGTCTTTCATCCATTTTGAGTCTCTTTTTGTGTGTGGTATAAGGAAATGATCCAGTTTTCATACTTCTGCATGTGTCTGTCCAATTTTCCCAACACCGTTTGTTGAAGAGACTGTCTTTTATCCATTGGACGTTCTTTCCTGCTTTGTCGAAGATTAGTTAACCCTAGAGTTGGCGGTCCATTTCTGGGCTCTCTATTCTGTTCCATTCATCTTTGTGTCTGCTTTTGTGCCAGTACCATACTGTCTTGATGAATACAGCTTTGTAATAGAGCTTGATGTCCGGAATTGTGATGCCACCAGCCTTGCTTTCCTTTTTAAACATTCCTCTGGCTTATTCAGGGTCTTTTCTGGTTCCATACAAATTTTAGGATTATTTATTCCATTTCTTTGAAAAAAGTTGATGGTATTTTGATAGGAATTGCATTAAATGTGTAGATTGCTCTAGGTGGCATTGACATTTTCACAATATTTGTTCTTCCAATCGATGAGCATGAAACATTTTTCCATTTTTTTGTGTCTTCCTCAATTTCTTTCATGAGTATTCTATAGTTTTCTGAGTACAGATCCTTTGCCTCGTTGGTTAGATTCATTCCTAGGTATCTTATGGTTTGGGTGCAGTTGTAAATGGGATCGACTCCTTAATTTCTCTTTCTTTTGTCTTGTTGGTATATAGAAATGCCACTGATTTCTGTGCATTGATTTTATATCCTGCCACTTTACTGAATTCCTGTATGAGTTCTGACGGTTTTGGGGTGGAGTCTTTTGGGTTTTCCACATAAAGTATCATATCACCTGCAAAGAGTGAGAGTTTGACTTCTTCATTGCCGATTCAGATGCCTTTTATTTCTTCTTGTTGTCTGATTGCTGAGGCTAGGACTTCTAGTACTATGCTGAACAGCAGTTGTGATAGTGGACATCCCTGCTCTGTTCCTGACCTTAGGGGGAAAGTTTTCAGTTTTTCCCCATTGAGAATGATATTCGCTGTGGGTTTTTCATAAATGGCTTTTATGATATTGAGGTATGTACCCTCTATGCTTACACTGTGAAGAGTTTTAATCAAGAAAGGATGCTGTACTTTGTCAAATAGATGCTTTTTCTGCATCTATTGAGAAGATCATATGGTTCTTGTTCTTTCTGTTACTAATTTATTGTATCACATTGATTTGCAGATATTGAACCAACCTCGCAGCCCAGGAGTAAATCCTACTTGGTCCTGGTGAATAATGCTTTTAATGTACTGTTGTATCCTATTGGCTAGTGTTTTGGTGGGAAGTTCTGCATCCGTGTTCATCAGGGATATTGGTCTGTGGTTCTCCTTTTTGATGGGGTCTTTGTCTGGTTTTGGGATCAAGGTAATGCTGGCCTCATAAAGTGAGTTTGGAAGTTTTCCTTCCATTTCTATTTTCTGGGACAGT